TTTCTGTTCGAGAAGTTGACAGGAAAAGTGTGTGAACCCTCAGTTTCATTTGAAAGTCCTCTATCAGTAATTGGTTTGTGGGAGGATGCAATTAACCACTTTAAGCTCCCTTGCTCGTTGGGGGGCTTGGAAGTGCATAGTACTGCCCTTGGCCATTCCCTGCAGGAACGCCAGCATTCAGCAAAGCAGAATGAGATGCAAGACATACTTACTGGATGTGATTTGAATTCTTATTTCAAATGTAGCTTCAAATTTTAATTATACATCACCAACTCAAAACTTGTCTCATCTTAAGTTGTTTCTCAGGCCATGGGTTTGACTTGTTATGCCTTTTTCTGTGGCTTCTCTGACCAATTAGAACAAATAGTGCTTTACCTGAGATGGCTTATAGCTTCTTAAACCTGTAAGATCAGGTTTTTATTAGGTGTTGTCTGTTCCCTATTTAGGATATTTCTTTTTGCATCATCTATATTTTCACAATGCAAGTCTTGTATTACATTTTGTTGTAAACCTGTTTAAAGAGACTTTAAGGATGGCTAAACATTATTCCATACAAGTTTATTCAATCTAAATCATTAAATGTTGTTTTAATAATTAACCATACTATTATCATCCATAGAATTGTAAGCCCAGTTGATGGAAAATCAATGGAAGGAACTCAGAGTGAAAAAGTACTACAAAGCAGAGACTTCGAAAGAGAGGCAAAAGTAATGAAGTGTACCGAAGTTAGTAAATTACATTGTTCTTGAGCCTTTTTGCTATGTTTTAGAATAGTTAAGTGATAAAGTGATCACACTGAATTATACTACTAAAGGAACTAATTTATTTGATGTGTAGCCCTGTTGATAGGCAGAATGTTCTCCATAGCTCTTTGGTAAGTTTACGTATGTTTCTGGTCTTGTTCTCTGAAAAAGTCTTTTATAAATCTATAAATCAATAATCCAGATATTCCCAGTCACTTAAGTATTTTGATTGAATAGACAAAATATTAGAACACTTCACTGGCAAACAAGCATTATAGTTTGCTCTGTTCACATTTATATGTAACTGACTTACTCTTTTCCTTACTTTGTAATAAAACCAGGCTGCTGACTACTTATCCTTTCTGTAATTTCAGGTATACTATTTTCTGAAGGACCATGAACTATCCAGTCCTGTTCCTCACCAGTTTGCTAAAGAGATTGCTATTGCCTGCAGTACTGCTCTTTGCCCACACCTTAAAACCTTGAAAAATAATGGAATGAATAAGATAGGCCTAAGAGTTTCTATTGACTCAGATATGGTAATCTTTCAGCTTTTATTGCAGACGCTCCATTTCAACTGAAACCTTGTTCTTCTAAAGACCCTGGATCTCGTTCTGAATGGTTTTAGTTTTTTGCCCTACCCCAGATCCAGTCTGAGGATGAAATTTCATGAGGAAGCTGTCTTAATGACTAATTTTTCTTGAAGGGAATAGTCCTGTTTCTTTATTCTGTCCAGTTCCCTAATAGCTGCTTGCAGTAAGCTGTCAGTCCTTCCCTAGCTCTAACTCTCTCTGGCACTCATCTGCCTCCAAGGTGAGTCAGTTCAGAGAACTGTAGAGCTAATTTTCTGATGCTTTTCTTGAAGTATGTAGTTTTGCGCTGGTTTTGCTCCCTAATGTAGTTCAGTAAGGGATATTTGCACCAAAGTCTGTATAGCAGACTGCCCAGCTGAGGATGGAAGAGTGGAAAGGCAAGACTATCTAGCATGTGATGCCCTGCAAAAGATGACAAAACTGTCAGTTTAGTTCCTTGCCTCTGAAGGTGTTCTGTGTTATACTTTACATTTTTGAGAGAAGCTGAAAATGCAGTCCTGAAAATCCAGTTTCCAGTAGTATATTTTGAAATTAATCTAACAGTAACTGTGTTACTACGATATATAGTCAGATCACTCTTGGACATGAGACTGAAGAGGATGGGTGTCCCTGTAAACCCAAGAGGACTGTTGCATGCTTCTTAATGGCAAGCCTTATAGGTGATGATTGAATTCAAAACCCATCCCGTTGCCAGTGTTTGAATGTTGTCATTTCATGCTAGCTGAAATATTATTTTACCAAGATGCTACACTTCTGTGTTGTCTTGTTAATACAAAAAGTGTTAATACAATGTTAATATTTTTTCCTCCTAGGTTGAGTACTTAGCTGGATCTGGAGGTTGCCTTCTTTCACAGAACTACCTGAATGAACTGGACAGTGCTCTCATTCCTGTGATTGATGGTGGGATGTCAGATCCCACAAGTCTACCATTCAAAATGGAATTAATATTTTTTATTATAGAACATCTGTTTTGATGAGGCTGATGACAAGCAATATACTGATTTGCTAGATCTGAACACCAAAGTTATAATGCTACAGACACTAAAAATGTTAAAGTTTCTAAACCTATTATGTTTTAATAGATTTTTCAAACTGTTTTCTAAAACCCTCAAATCCCCTCTGGTTACTTTACTATGAAAGAATTGTAGTTTGTAATGTTTCCTAAAGTTCTGAAAATTTACACTTAATACAGATGCAGGAGAGGGCAGGTTTTGTTACCTCTTTACACAGTTGTAGCATTTACTATATGTAGTGTAACTTTAAGCCATATTATCTTGCCTCTTAACCTCTGATAAATGTGTTACTGAAAATTGCTGTGGTTAGATCTGATCTCTCCAGCGTGTGCTTTCTGTGTGCAATTAGCTAAACACTGAAGTAGAAGCTGGCACAAAACAGTTCTCTTGCCATTTGAGATTCAAATACGCAATCTTCTGTAGCTGACTGCAAACTTCGTGTGTGTCCAAAATACAAGTGCATATCTTCTGACACTTGGTTATGGTCAGCATGAGGAAGAATCCTGCACGTATGTTTATGAAGACTTTGTTGTTGAAGTCCTTAATATCAGGATGTTAAACAGGTGCTTCAGGAACATAGGCTCTGAATTAGGTTTTTTTACAGAGTAACCAATTATTGTATTTGTAAGGATTTATCAAGCTCAAATGGATGCTATTTTTATAAATACTGCTGATTTTTTTCTTTATTGTGTTTGGGAGTCCTGACACAATTTGACCTTTCAAGGATTAATTAAAAAAAACAGATTACCCTTGATGTAATCTACACTTAGCAATAAGTCTGTCTGAATTCTGCAATCTTTTTCTGCTCCTGTCTGCAGCTTTTGCCACCTCTTAGTAGCCACCTGTACTTTCAGGGAGAATTGATGTATTAAGTGTGAATTTTCAGGAACAGGTTGACTTTTAGTATACCTGAGGTTCTTGTATAGTATGTATTTTTGATATTGGGTCATTAAGATCTATTTATGTATTTGTGATGCATGTGATTTGTACTGAGATTCAGCAAACCGTAATTGCAGTTTGGTTAACTGTCACACTTAGAACCAAAACAAGCTATATACAAGATTTGTTTTGTTTTCATTAAAAATGCTGGTAGAATTCTATGAGACTATTAAAACTTTGATGCCTTCTTGATGCTAATAGGGGATATCTTATGTTTTTGTATCAAAAACAATTTGTAACTAGACATAATCTGCTTTGCTATCACCTGTGCTTCAAAATACTGGTTCTAGAAGGATTCAGGCTTCAAGATCTTACCCTGGAGGAAACTGAGGCAGCATTTGAGCTAATTGATGTGGGAAACTGCTGTTCTGGAGAAGAGCTGAAGATCACACCAACTGCGGTCTGAACCAGTTGTGTTCTTGCTTAGGGATAAGCTGCAACAGGACCCTCGAGGAAACGACCGCGGCAGGGTGAACAGCAGTGAGGGGCTGTGGCTGGGGTGGCACCACTCCTCCGAACCGTGAGGGTGAACCAGCGCTGCCCGTCCGAGCGTAGGGGTAACCGGAGGAACGGCTGACCCTTGCCACTTGTCCTGTACTAACTAATGATTAGTAAA